AAAAATCTCTTGTGGTCATTGTAAATAGTCCGTGCCATTCCTGGCCAGGCCTGAGAGATGCAGAGGGCTCCAGAGACATCGTTCTCTGTTAGGACGTTGCCCTAGAAAACATTACCCTTAGGAACAGCTGTGGACAAAGACAACCTGTCCTCTTAGTCATGGGTCTGGTTTTACTGAATCTGCCCAACAACAACCTCCTAACAGGGAGAGATGTGGAGAGCAAAGGGAGAGTCTCCTGGAGCTCACCAACAGTGAGGTTACCTCCCTCTACAGTCTCCTTTCAGCATTCTGCCATCCAACCGCTAAGCAGTGAGGATTAATCTGTTTTCCCTGATAGAAGAAATGGGTGCCTGGCCTAGTCTGTTCCGCTCGTCTTCTCCAGGCCTGCTTCCTTTAATTTGCCTTAGGCTCCCATCAGCCTCCTCTGGACACAAGCAGCTCATTTTAGGCACAACTATTAGCACTTTCATTCAAGCACAGCTTCTCTTCAGTGACTGAGGGGCTGGAAGCCACCAGTTCAGAATATCCCAAAGCAGTGTTTGTGAGGAATACCTCCTCACTCCTCCAGCCTCAGCCCCTCCCAGGATGGGGCACCATAGAGAGCAGTGCAGAAACACAGGCTGCACTACAAGGGGTAGCTACCAGCTCATCTAAATACAGATCTTCTTTCTGGAGCAGCTGTAATGAATGGACAGGATTTAGAGGGAGTGAAAGTTGCAGATCCTCTACATTCAGCTGGATGGGGCAGCTTGAGAACATTGAATAAGATAATGTATGCATCGTACCTTGTCATCCAGAAGACAGGGGCTGATACCAAAGAATGGTCGCATGGCCAGACCTGGGCGGATCTCATCTCCAGGGTCGGAGGGACGGGGAGAGATACAGATGCCTCCTGTTTCTGAAGTAAATTCAATCATAACACCCATGAAACTGGAGCACAGTGAAAGCCACATCAAGATACTGATAAATTCACTTTGTTCCTAAGCCTCACCCTGGCTAGGGTTGCATGTTAGTGCCAAAGGATGACTTTCCCACATCTACGCTTGCTGTAAGGCAGGCCCTCTGCTGGCTGTAGATTAGGGATCTGCAATTGACCCATAAACCAGAACCAGCCTGTAAAAAGGCCTGATCCAGTCCACAAAGGTTCAAGCTGGCAGTGCCACAGCAAGGGTGGGGGCAAGTGGAGCAACTGCCCCGGGCACCAACAGGCACTGCTCAGCCGGGGTGAGGTGCGGGACAGAGCTGTGAGCAGCTCATTTCAGGGGGGACATGACTAGGAAGGGTGCCTCCCACCGCCGTGTGCATTCCTGGGCAAGCATGGGGGGCAGGGTATGCCCCCCAGATCTGTGCGGGGCAAGGGCAGGATGCTGCTGTGAGCTTTGCCCCAAACACCAAACTTCACTGCTACAGCACTGTAGCCTGGTATGAGGGATTGGTGGCATAGCGCTTCACCATGCTGCCAATCTCTTCCACAGCTCTCTCCTCCACAGCACAGCCTGCTTCACCACTGCATCTGTGCTTAACCCTGCTGCAAAGGGGATGGAGACCAGCAGTGAGGGTAAGTGAAGGCAGCTGGTCATTCAGGGGCAGGGGCAGGGGTAGGGGCAGAGTCTTGTGGCTTGCCGTAGGGGCTGAATCACAAAGTATAGCCCCTGCTGGCAGAAGGTTACCAACCCCTGCTGTAGATAATTAGATGGAGTGTCCTGCTCATCTTGGGCTTCTCCAACCTAGTTTTAAATAATGCAGCTTAATTTATTTGTCCATCTTGTGATGGGGCCCAGAGGCTTCTTGTGCTGGGCATTCTCTTTAAGGGGCCAAACACATCTACGGTGATGTATAATGAGAATCATCACAGCTACTGCAGAGTAGTGCACAAGAATTATTCGTAAGACAGGGTAATGACTTGGGAGTTGTAAAGGTGCTGGTAATGGGAAGAAAGGGATCTCCTTTGTTTCTTACCAGTTTGCCACCATGTGTCAACTACTGGGCAGCGTGCTTCTCCAACCACATTGAAATACCACTCCCATGCTTCTGTGTTAATGGGTTCTCCTACTGCAAAGGGAAAGGCAGATAAATATCATGGAATGGACAATTCAGAAGTACAGCATCTCAGGGACTGGCTGCTGTCTTAGACTCCGGGAGGGAAGGGACAGATGACTACCAGTTATGGAAGTCCCTCCCTCCAGCCCTGTGTATCCTCTGATGCGCTGTCTTCATTGAGATCATGGATCTGAGCCAAGTTATAGTCCTGGTCATATACGGTCTTTCACCAAGCAGTTTTGACCCCATAATATGGTGATGTTGCCCTAATGCAGCATATCTACACCTTGGAGTGGTGGCCTTTCCATCCTCAGCCATCATCCCAGCACCAACCTGAGCCCAAGATCTTGAGGGAAGATCTGTCATATTTCTTGACCCACTTGTCCCCATATCTCAGCAGCAGGCGAATCGCTGTGGGTGCCCCGTAGAACTGGTTAATTCGTAGCCTCTCCACTGTTTCCCAGTAACGTCCTGGAATGGGAAACTGGACCAATTACCTCTAGACCTGGCTCCTCCAGCCCCATTTCAACACAGTCCTGGTTTTCATGTCCTTTCAGGACTCAGACAAATTGTCTCAGCTAGGCTGGCCCAGCTCAGGGATATAATTGAAGCACTCTATCTAGCTCACTGTCTCTGCTGTGGAATGAGTTCAGCCAGCATCACAGACAAAGGTGACTCCTCATATATGTGCTCCACAAGAGCCTGCTCCAAAGGAGGGAGGAATTGGCTCTGCTCCTTGCCAACACCCTTCCTCAGGAAAGCTATTGAATTGGCCTCCCCCTGCACTGCCTGTCCTCTGAGCTTTAAGAGAAACTCAGTCTGTGTTCCTGCTACATGCTGTTCCATTAACAAACCCTACTAATGCTATGATGGGAGAACCCCTGCTCCCTGGGCTGAGACGGGAATTAATTTCATGACTCTTCTGCACCCATGTGCTGCATGGAACAGTCAAGATCACAACCCTACTCAGAGGGTTCAGTGCAAGGTACTGTGAAAGTTTTTATAATGTATAGTTTGTCCCAGTCCCTGTAGAACAGCTGCTACGTGTTTCTGAAGACAGGATCACCCTCATTTCCCCAGATCCACCACCTCCTCTTAGCTAGTTGTCCTGCTCCATGCCCTTAGCTCCTGAGCCTTCTTAGTACTCACCAGGGTCAGGGTACAAAGGTGTGCTCTCAAAGAGGACGGTTGTACCTCCATTGCAGAGAGGGCCATACACCACATAACTGTGCCCTGTGATCCAACCAATGTCTGCGACGCAGCCAAACACATCCCCATCATGGTAATCAAACACATACTGCACACAAGAGAACAGACAGCAAGGGCTGTATCCTTGAAAGAATCCCCCTCCCCCCTGCAGAGGGTGATAGCTGTGATTAAAGTGTCCTCATACCCCATCACTGTCAACTGTCACCCTGTTTCCTCTCTGCTACACCCATCTGTCACAGCCTGGGTCTGTTTAGGTTGTATCTTATGTCTCTGGAAGCACCTGCACAAGGGAGGTTGGGTCCTGACCAGGGCCTGGCTGTTGCTGTTCTGAGGAAAGGCATCTGCATAGATTCAGACAAGGCCATTCCTGTTAATTCTTCAGTGTCAAAGCTAAAGGAAGCTTAGCTGGAGGAAAAGTTCATTGGCAGGAACAATTTGAACCACTTCTACATACTGCTGGGTTATAACGCAACTAGACTACTCCAGAAAAAGACATGAGCTCAGCAAAAACATCTGGTCTTTGTGCAACAACCGTATTAAATAAGGAGCTAGATCAGCTATATAATAAATTACACTGGCCCTTTTGTAGTGACATTCTATGGATCAGCTACGTAGTCCTGGACAGAGAACTATTTGGCAGTGCTCATCCCATCTCATCCAGCGCAGGGCTGGAGAAGAGCCAGAGAAGAGGGATTATTAGGGAACTAGAGAAATTTTCATAAGAAGGGGAGACTGGGGCTATTTAGTGCAAAGGAGATGAGATGTGAGGTGGTGCAGCCAAATAATGAGGGTCTAGGGCCTCACTGAGGTTCATCCCTCTCAAAATAAAAGAACAAGCGGATAGTCAATGGAAGTGCAAGGCAGGTCATTTAAAATAAATGCAAGGCAGTTCTTTGAGGTAAGTGTTAGCACACCAAAGGAACTCAGCCCATGGAGCCCCAGCCCCTTATAGAGAGCTGTCCTGCTCTCTGAACGGTCACTCTCCAGGTTCCTTTGTTTTTCACTGATTTCTGTAGTCAATTTTCTCACTTGAGCATCTTAAAACCAAGCTACTGTTTCTTTCCCACTGCCAACTCTACAAACTCTCTTATGGGCTCTGAGTGTGAATGGTCTTGTAATCAAAATCCTGCCCCTGCCCTGTGAGCCAAGACAGGCTCCAGCTCCCTCTCCTGCTGCTGTGCTGTCTCTGCAGGGGAAAACACACCTGTCCACAACAGAAGCCTGGCTCTGCACGCTCGCTAGGACCCAGAGTACAGGAGATTTTTTTCATGTACTCCCTTTTCTTCCCATAAGGGCCTTTGATACCAGGCTGAAATGGCAGGAGAGGCAGAATATCCATACACCCACCAGCTTGCAGAGCTAGTCTTCCAGTGAAATATCTATTTTTCTTGGGTTTGGTACCTGCTCCTTCATTTCCCCATTGCTCCATGCCAAAAAAGCTCCTCAGTGTAAATCTTTTGGAAGCCCATTCTGGCTGTTGCTCCACAATCTGCCATTTCTAACCATACTTTAAAAAACGATGTGCTCCATTTGCCTTCAAGGCCAGAGTGGCAGTGCTCCAGCTCATGTGAAGAGCCTGGCTGTCAGGAGGGTGACAAATGAGAAAGTCTCCAGCATGTACCCAATGGAAACTCTCCCTCCTTAGTCTCTGTTTAAATTAAGATAATTAGGTCAGCACCAGA